TTAGTCCGGATCTCGTCATCTTGCTCCCTCCTCGTCCTCCGACTACCGACACCATCCTATCGTGGCCGGGGATCTACGGACTATTAGGAAATCAACAGGAAATTGACAAAACTTTATTTTGCCCACGGCTTCGTTTCCGAGAGGCCTTGATATACGCGACGCCCTTCGTCTCCGTATTCCCTCGAAATATTGTTTCTCCGAATTCGAAACATTTCGCCACCCTTGGTTATTCGAAATTAGCGCTTTTCAAAGCGAACTGTGTTACTATGCATATATGAACAGAAGAGTACGATATTAAATTACCTTTTCAATTACCTATATCTTAAAACTTATCACGAGAAACTTATCAAGTTTTCAAGTTTCGATTATCCATCATCCTATTTTGGAAAAGAAAGGAAAAGAAAGAAGTTTGACGAGTTTCTACGAATTTCGAAATCGTTGGAAATCTTCTCTCTATACGATCGAACGGTATACGTTATTACGTATTAAATTAGTAGACAATTGTGCGATGATAATTCGATCGTTGGAGATATATAAAGCATGACACGGTTCGAGAGTGGTTATACAGGGAGATAAAAGTTCGTATCGTTCACAAATTGGCAAGAGTTGTTCCGTTTCCTATCTTATATCGATGGACACGAAACGTTTCGTCTCCGCAAACGCGCATAAATCATTTTGATATACAAACGACCTTGGTTGAACATTCTTCACTCGATCCTCAGACGGGGTGGGTCTTTCTAGACAAGATATCCACTAAATTATTACTGGAAACGTAACAGCTTCTATTCTACCAGTCTCCGCCGCTTTCGTGTCTATATCACTTTCTGATACGGTTCAGTCATGTCGACACGGAAATAAATGGAGGGAAGCGGAGAAGCGGAGATAAAATATAGGAACGTGCGATTTTCAACGATCCTTCCGTACTATTTATTGTCATATTTATTATAAAGAGTACCCGAGCTATATATATATATATATATATACATACAGCGGAATATAGAACCGCATAGGAACGTTATTGAATTTTCTATTAGCTGTCCGCTGGTATAAAATTTATCGCGAGCATTAACCCTGAAAAACGTTAAACCCCGCCTAAAGTCTTTCGAAATCGATATCATTTTCAAACAGTCCTCGATATCTTGCGCAACATCTTCGAGAAATAATTCGAAAAAAAAGAATACGAATTCCGCCTTTAAGACACAATCGAGCGTATTCCCTCTTCCTCTTCATCCCTGCGTCTTAAAACTTATCACGAGAAACTTATCAAGTTTTCAAGTTTCGATTATCCACCATCTTATTTTGAAAAAGAAAAAGAAAAAAAAAAAAAAGAAAGTTTCGCGAGTTTCTCAAGTTTCTACGAATTTCGAGGTCTCGAAATCGTTGCCCTTTGGAAATCTTCTCCCTATACGATCGAACGGTATACATACAAATCTCGCGTCCCGTCGTTACGTCTTCCCAAGATAAACTGGCAATTTCCAACCTCTGGACTTTCTTCTTCTTGGTAGCAATACCAAAGTATATCCAAGTACGTACGTATCCATTCGTATAATAGAAGGAGTCCGACTTACGAGACTTACGTTTCTATATATACGTTTCGCGGGGCAAGAAAACCAAGGAATGGAATGGTCGTTGGACCATGGTCGGAGGGACGAAGGAAGGATAGAAAGGAAGGATAGAAATCGGATCCATTGGAACGAGGACAATGGTCGCCGCATACGCGGTGAAGAAAAGTCGTGCGCGATCCCATAGATGGTGAATCGAGAAAATGGATGGATCCGTACATCAAGGATTTCCTTAATTTTGCGAACGTTGATTTAGGGAGATCGGCGAGACATCGGCCATCCTCCTCTCTTTCGCCTCTCTCCCTTCTCCTGCGATCGAAACGCGCGTAACGCCGGGTTGGAGGATGGCGGCCACGTTGCGCGGACAGATCTCTCTATTAATCCTTGGAGAAGGTAGCGGGGTGAACGGAATCGAATCTCGGTTTGGTCGGTCGGTTGCAGACCTCGCGCGGCGCATCGATGCACACACGTGGTGCCCATAAGCCTGGACTTGGCTACCACTCCGAGCTAAGGAGATATGGGTCACCACGCAGCTGACACGAGAGGCCATTCTCTATTCCCTGACCTGTTTTCTCTTTTTTTTTCCCCCTTTTTTCTATTTTTTTTCCTGCAGTCGCATACGATTTTTACAATCGCGTCACGTTTCCTCCCCTCCTCTTCCTTCGCGGTCGCCTAATACCTGGCCAACGATCACGAAAATTGAAAGTTATTTTTCTTTTTCTTTTTTTGGGAAAAAAAT